TTTTTTTTTTAATTTTTTTTTTTTTTTTTTTTTTTTTTTTTTTTTTTTTTTTTTTTTTGTGGGTGAAAAGGGGGTTAAACACATAAATTTACATTACTAAGGGGGCGTTTTGACAAGTTCATAAAAGGTCAGCTTTTTGATTTTTTAATTTTTTTGAATCACATCACTTTTTTACTGTTTTACATCAAAAAAGTCAAAAAACTACAAAAATGTTAAAAATTCAACTTTTTACCATCTTTCTAAAACATCACTAACTATTGTTTTATACTACATCTTTTTTTTTTTCTTTTTTTTGTTGTAAAAGTCAAAAGTTATCTCATACATCTATCTTTTTTTATATACTTTTTTAATTAAAAAAAAGTCAAAAAGTATATTTAAGTTGAAAAATGTTGGGGATCCCTATAAAAGAGGACCCCCACGACCCTCACTAATGTATTGACCATTGATGTGTTTGATTTTTTTTTTGAGTGTTGTGTCTGACAGTGACATGTATGGTTCAGATCATTTTGGGATTGTAGAGGTTATGTTTTGTAGAGATCTCTATCATTACTAATTTAAGTTAGGTCAAATAACTAATTTTTAAATTTAAGTGATAATTAATTAGAATATTTAAGACAACTTTCTCTCTTGTATCTTCTTTAATTATTAGTCAATCAACTTTCTTTCACATCATTTAATTTAGAAAATGAGTCTAAAAAAAAACTTGTATATCATCACTTTCCCTTTTTCTAAGTTGTTTGGTAAATAAAAAATTTAGTGTCGCACAGAAATCTTAAGTTTTGTTTAAAAGAAATTTAGAATTGAAAATGTAATTGAAGAAAAAAAATTAGTTTATATTTTATTAACATATACCTCGTTTTTTTTTTCCCCTCGCAAATACTAAACTAAACGAGTTGTGCGTCTGAGTATTTTCATATATTTACTCCTGTGTATGTCTTGATTTCATCTTTTCTTTGCTTGGTGTAAGTTTATCTGTTGGATAAATTCCTTTATGTATGTGTCGTTTGGCTTCATTAATGGAAATTTCTTTTTAATAATAATAATAAAAGTACAGTGTTAATACCAATCACGTAGTTTGAGTTTTTATATTTTTTTTGATTTTATAATGTAAATGAAAGTTTATTTATAAGAGCTTTTGAGTGTTTTATAAAATGAAGGGTGATCTTAGCCAAAAGAATTAGACTTACGTTTCAAAGCGAATGATGTGGCATTGCCTTAAAATATCGGAGGAATTATATATCAGTGGTAGTTAGAAAAAAAAATAAAAAATAAAAAAATTTACAAAAAAGTGATAAACATTGTAAATATTAATAATTAAAATTATAAACTTTTTCACCTTTGTGTAATAATTTTTCAAAATTCACTCTGAATAGTAATTTCCTGGAGAATATCTAAGGCAACTTCATCTCTCATATCTTTTTTAATTATCAACAAATCATTTTACTTACACATCATTGGGTCTAGTCTAAAAAATGGACTTGTAGGTTATGCTATTTAGACTAAAAACATTAAACTCGCCTTTTAAACCCAATAATATGGCATTGCCTTAGAATATCTAAGGCAATTCTCTCTTATATTATTTTTAATTGTCAACCAATCATGTTAATTACATGAAAAATGATATACAAACTCCCTTTTCAAACCATTTGATCCATCTTTTTTTTTGGTGATTATTCGGTAGTCTCGGAGTACAGCCACGTGATGTTCTATAATTGTTTGATTGGTAGAAAGGTGGAGTATTAATTATTTGTGTTGGGTGATTGAGAAATATAAATGAGTATAATGAATGATAATTAGTGAGAGAATATAGTCACATGATACTCTGGGACGATAGATACGTATATATATACACAAATAAATATTATAGACCTTTTTATATGTGTATGTATAAATAATGATATACTAATACTATTATAAACCATAAGAGGGTGGGTGTGGTTTGCATGTGTAGAAAAAACTGGGTTTGGAACCACAAATATAAATCGTGTTGGATCAAGATTTGAATAATAATTTTTTAGAAGAAACAAAAAATGAAAGAAAAGTGACAAAAATTTAATTGATATTTCATTCATGTCTTCATTTTTTCTTTTTATTTCCCATTACAAATTTCTTCTCAAATCTTAGAACCTAAGACAACTCCTCCCTTCTGGTAGGTATACATGAGTGGTGGAGATTTTTTTTATTTTTTTTATTTTTATTTTTATTTTTTGCCCTTGAATCATTTATTTTTTTGTCGGTGACACAACGTAGCATTATACTTGATATATGTTCATTCTCTTATGTTGCGTTTGATTTATAGATTTGGAGAGAAATTTGAAAAGAGAAAAGAAAAAAGTGTGTAAAATTAAGTAAAATATAAATATATTTTATTTATTTTTTGTTTTTCAAATTTTTTCTAAATTCAAGAATCAAACACATCCTTAGGAGGCCAACAATTTTTGCGTTGAACCGCTATTTTCCAACCTTTAGAGGCTGATCGCCATCCACCCCTTTCACATACGGGGACCATGCATTTACAACCTTTATACAAGAACTGTACTAGGATTCTTCCTTAATGTTTTGCCTCCAAATACATGGGATTGCAGTATAAATAGCAAAGCACTAGAGTTCCTTGCTCCATATCAGCCACAGGCAAGAAGTGAAAGAAAAAAAAGAGTCCACAAGAGTGTTCTTGTTCACTTCCATTTTCTCGTCACACAACCAAAAGCAAAAACATGGAATTATCTATTCATGCTTTACCTATTCCTGATTCAACCAAAAATATGGTACCGGAGGTCACTCGACGCTCAGCCAATTATCATCCTAGCATTTGGGGAGATCATTTCCTCACAACCAAAAGCAAAAACATGAAATTATCTATTCATGCTTTACCTATTCCTGATTCAACCAAAAATATGGTACCGGAGGTCACTCGAAGCTCAGCCAATTATCATCCTAGCATTTGGGGAGATCATTTCCTCACTTACGCCTCTCATGCCATGGTAAAATTGCAATTGCTAGCATTGCACATATTTAATGTTGTTTTTAATTTTGTGCATGGTTTTAAATAATAGCATTAAAACAGGTATTAGCAAAGATACGGTTATATATCAATCGATATCAAACAATATCGAACAATATATCTATAAATATTAGTATCAGAAGTCTAAAATCTTATTACATATCAACTGATATTTAAAATCTGACAGCATGGACACAAAAGAAACTACATGAAATTTTGTTGAACAACCATGTTTATTATCATGAAATTTTGTTGGACACATGCACTTATATATATATATATATATATGTTTTCATGTTGCAGGAAGTAGATGTTAACATGAAGCAACAACTCTGTTTTCATATATCTCCGTTTCATATAAAAACACTTGATAATAACTAATTTGGTTATTATTTTTCAAATTCACAATATCCTTTTGAAAAATAACATTACTTATGAACAGTGAAGTTTGATTTCATTTACAAAAATAACATTATCAAATTATTCTTTCTGTATTTTATGTATAAATTTTGAGTAAGAATATAATTTTCTTTGTATATATCCTGTATTCTCATTGTTTATGCAGGAAGTGGATGTTTAAATGGGCTCAGCGGCAGAAAGAGAAAGTGAGAAAGATGCTAGTGGCAGCTAATGATCAGCCTACACAGAAACTGAACTTCATCGATGCAATCCAATGCCTAGGGGTGTCTTACCATTTTGAAAGTGAGATTGAGACAGCTTTACAACATATATATGAAACCGATTATGATCATCATGATGACAAAGCCAACGATGATCTTTATACTGTTGCTCTCTCGTTTCGGTTACTTAGACAACAAGGATATCCCATCTCTTGTGGTAAGTCTCATTTGCCATGCATTTGATGTTTTGGTATCTGAACAAGGCTAAAAGAAGTCAAACACAACCATACAAGTCCATATGTTATTTTGTGTCACACTAATATATCATGTGTCGGATGGGTTACGCTGATGTTTTCAACAAATTCATGGACGACAATGGCAAAATTCGTGAATCCTTAATTGGTGATGTGAGAGGAATGTTAAGCTTGTATGAGGCTGCACATCTTAGGGTGCGAGGAGAAGATATACTGGATGAAGCACTGTCTTTTACCATCACTCACCTTGAGTCTGCGGTACCCAACTTGAGCAATCTTGTTCAAGAACAAGTAATTCATGCTCTGAATCAGCCCATACACAAGGGCTTGAAAAGGCTAGAGGCAACCCGTTACTTCTTCTTCTATGAGCAAGATAATTCTTATAATAAAGTTCTACTGAATTTTGCAAAACTAGATTTCAACCTATTGCAAAAAATGCACCAATGGGAGCTAAGCGAAATCACAAGGTGACTTACATAAATTTACGCCCAGAAAAAAAAATAATTGGAAAATTCTCAGAATTTAAATGTGTAGTATAAATTTAAAGTGTGTACTTTTTCAACTATATATTTTAAATTTTAAGCACTTTTTTCAATATTTTTTTTATGGATATGTAAGGTTGTTAATTAAGTCAAACTATTTCAGTCATATTGAGGTGGTTTAAAAATTGACTAACATAGATTCTATTACATATTTCAGGTGGTGGAAAGAATTGGACTTTGCAAAGAAAATGCCTTTTGCAAGAAACAGAATAGTGGAGTGCTATTTTTGGATATTGGGAGTTTATTTTGAGCCCCAATACCTACTTGCTAGAAGGATGCTAACAAAAGTGATTGCCTTGACTTCCATTATTGATGACATCTATGATGTCTATGGTACTTTAGAAGAACTTGCGCTCTTCACTAATGCAATTGAGAGGTTCGAACCTATTCGTTCCCCAATGAACTTTGCATTTGATCTTATAGAAGTATCAAAACCTCTTCAATTGTTCATTATCTATCTGTATTTCAGGTGGGAAATCAGTGCCATAGATCAACTTCCAGAGTACATGAAACCATGTTATCAAGCACTTCTAGATGTTTACAACATGATTGATGAAGAGATGGCGAGGAAAGGAACATCATATCGCGTCCACTACGCAAAATCTGCAGTAAGCCTCGTACTAATTGGTTACAAACAAACAATTTGTGATTAGCACTAAGATTATATGTGAAATTTGATCAAAAAGCAATAATACTGATCGATTTTATTCAAATCTTAGATGAAAATTTTAGTTAGAGCATACTTTGAAGAAGCCAAATGGTTTCACCAAGGCTATGTTCCAAGTATCGAAGAGTATATGCGAGTTGCTCTAGTAACTAGTGCTTACACAATGCTAGCAACCACTTCCTTGGTGGGCATGGGAGAGGTGGTGTCCAAAGAGGCCTTCGATTGGGTGTCAAGTGATCCTTTAATTGTTCAAGCTTCATCAGTAGTTTGCAGACTCATGGATGACATAGTTAGCCACAAGGTAATAAGATAAATCAGAAGTTTTGCAAAATTGTTTATTATGTTGTAATCCCGATGATCACGCGGTATTGTTAATGAGGTGAACTTTGTTCTTCTTTACTGAATTAAAAATAAATAAATAAATAAAAAGTATTAGACATTTAAATTTAGCTTGACGAGATGAATCGAAAATTTTAATTTTTTTTATAAAAAAATTCAAAATAAGTCCAAAAAAATAAAAATAAGCCAAAAATAGTGGGGTTTTTTGGCTTATTTTGGCTTTTTAATTTTTTTTTTAAAAAATTCAAAAAAATTTTACTTTTTAGATTTGTCTATGCAAGAAAACTAAAAACAATTTGACATAATTTTGAAAAAAAAAATTACTACAGACAAAATCAAATTCAAAAAAGATCTGACTTTTTGGTATTTTTTTTCAAAAAATAGAAATTTTATAAAATAAAGAAATGAATGTGTAGAATAAATTTCATAAAATTTTAAAGATTTGCAAGTGAAATTTAAAAAAATAAAAATAAAAATTCTATGACAAGTAATTAATATTTTAACAGAACAAATGGTATTGTGGTAATTAGATGTCACGTGGTTAAAATCTTTTATAGCACTTAATTAATATATTGTAAGATATTATGGGACATCTAAAAATATTTTTTTAAATTAAATACAACACATTATTTATGAAATATGTAGATTCTAAATTTTATATCATATTCTCTAACCGTCATGTAACACTTATTGTAGTTTGAGCAAAAGAGAGGTCACGTAGCTTCAGCAGTGGCATGTTACATGAAACAGAATGATGCATCGGAGGAAGAAGTGCTTATTGAATTTCACAAACAAGTTACAAATGCATGGAAAGATATAACTGCAGAGTGCCTCCATCCAATCGAGGTCCCAATGCCTTTGTTATTGCGAGTAGTCAATCTTGCACGAGTGATAGATGTTTTATACAAGGATGAAGATAGTTACACTCATTCCAGAACTAGGCTTAAAGGTTTTGTAACCTCAGTACTTATCGATCCCGTGCCAATATCTAATGAAAAAACAAAACAAATCACTATCTAGATACAAAATATATCTGGACCAATAAGATCTTTTAAAGGGGGACTGCATGCAGGTAGGACAAAGAAAAAGAAATTACTAACACACGGGGTGGAAGTGTGTCTATGGTGGGGTGTAAATGAAATATTTTGCACCCCTCATATGTTGATAATTATTTTCTCTTTTTTTCACCTAAATGTAGTTTCTCCTTTTTTAAAAGTGGGTCTATTAATAAATTTTATTTATATATGTGTATTGCGTGTGTTTCTATATTTAACTTTTGTATTTGTAGCAGAACTAATACAAATAATTCTCTGCTTCACAAAGTTATTGATTTCTTGGGAGGTCGGGATTAATCGATTTCCTGGAAACATTGTAATATGAAATGAAATCATTCAATGCATTTCAAGTGGAGAATTATTTTGTTCTTAATTTTCTGTTTTTGTTTTTTTGTGATGTGTATTATGAAATTTATGAATGACAAAATAAGGTATGCATAAAGTTATGTAATTTTGTAGTGAAAATTATAATTTTTGTAATAAAAAATTATATATATTACTTTATAACAAAAATTATGAATTTTTGTGATGTTATATATACTTAGCGTTCTTGTTAACTTGGTGGCCATAACAGTCTATCGAGAGCAGACCAAAGACATTGGCGGAGCTAATAACGTGGTTGATGGAACAATAATTGAGGGGACCAAAAATATTTACGAATGATTTGAGATATTCTAAATAGGCCAAGTTTGACATCTACTAAATAATACAAAAAGACAAAAAGTTACTATCTTATTTAAGTCACATCATCTTATTTAAATCACATCAGCTCTCTAACCCATCACATCAAACCCAACCCAAATCCAACCCATATAAGCCAATAAGTCAAAAAGTGCACTTTTTTAGAACATCCTAAACCAACCCTAAGTATACTGTTTGACTTTTTATATATAAAAAAATTTTTGTAGAAAAGTAAAGAAAGTATGTAAAAAAGTAGAAAGGAAATATTGATAAATGTTGATTGATGTAACCTAAATAAATATATGCATATAAAAAAAATATTTTTTTTAACACGTAGGATATAAATGTACGACTGTATTGTCTCTCCATTCCATATCCCACAAACAGAAAATATGACATATTCGCACTTTTAAAAAAATAAAAAATAAAAAGTTTTTCATTGGTTTAACAGTCTATCGAGAGCAGACCAAAGACATTCGGGCAGAGCTAATAACGTGGTTGATGGCCGTAACAGTCTATCGAAAGCAAACCAAAGACATTTGGGCGGAGCTAATAACGTGGTTGATGGAACAATTATTGAGGGGACCAAAAACGTTTAGAGGGTGGTTTGGGATGTTTTAAATAAATGTATTTTTTAATTTTTTATAAAAAAAAAATGTAGAAAAATAGAAAAAGTGTGTAAAAAAATAAAGAGGAAATGTTGATAGATGTTAATTGATATGACCTAAATAAATGTATGTATGCAAAAAAAATATACTTTCTTAATGCATGTCAAACACCTACTTAGGCTTCTTCAACACGTAGGATATAAATGTACAACTGTATTGTCTCTTCATTCCATATCCCACAAACAGAAAATATGACATATTCGCACTTTTAAAAAAATAAAAAATAAAAAGTTTTTCATTGGTTTAAAAACAAAAAGGGAAATAGTCGTACAATGTAACAAGAAAAAAAAAATGGGATTTTTTTTTTT